TATACAATATGAATTAAAATTAATAAAAATATATAAATCATTAATTAAAATTAGTTAATTATTATAAATTTATATGCTTTGTAAAAAAGTATAGCAATTCCAAATCAATGTCATTTTTGAGAAAATTTCGTTGAATTTTTTCATATGTTATTTAATTGGTTCTTTGCTCAGAATGGTGCCATTATAATGAAATTAGATGACTCTGTATAAGAAAATGTTGTAATGATGTCATAGAAATCAAGAATGGGGCCACCTCTCCTCCATCTAGGGGTCCTTTTTTGTTTTTTTCAGGGCACAGTTTAGATGGAAAAAATGGCAAAAAGTGGCTCATGGTGTTAACTGTTTCTAGTAAATGCATTATTGTGAATCAGCTAGTGGTTTGCCTGTGTTTCCCTTGATTGAAACAATCAGCTAAGGTGCAGAACGAACCTGGAACTTTGCATTCCAAGGAAATGGTATATATGAGTTGCATTTAGTTATGCGACATGTCTGTTTTCTGGATGACATGATACTCTCCGAGTATCTGATGCGTTTGAAACTTGGATCGCTAATCATGGAGTAATGGACCCCGAAATTCCCTTGAGAAAATGATGGTTACAGTTGACTCATTGTCTATATACGAGATTTTATTGACCTGGGCAAGATGAAGATTGTCTTCTTTTATTTAAAGTTGAAGAAACATGATCTTTAAAAAATGTGGCTACTAAGAGACACTTATAGGTTATAAAAATTTTTGTTTTTACCCTCTTCTACAACAAATTCTCATAAGCAAAAATACAAACAACATTTCTACTATTATCAAATTAAAACAGTCATCTTTTAATTAACAATTGCTACAGAAGTCTTTGTACAAAAACAATAATTTTGTTGTTTAAAAAAAAGAGATTAAGTGGTTAGTTTCAATATTAATGTAAGGTGTAATCAATTAGGCTTCATTGTATCTTGCAGGTGTATTTTAATTAACCCCTTTTGCATACTAAAATAATAGAGATGCGAGAATAATCTAAAAAAAAAAAATAAAGATTTTTTATCATATGCTCTTAAGGCGCAGGATAATACATATTTATTAGGGGATCTGATCGTAATTGCAAATGTATCTTTATGAGTTAAGTCATTATAATTAATTAGGGGTCAATTTATTTTTTGGTAAGACTAAAATGCCCTCATTTACACTGCAGACTCCACTACTTTTCCAACCTTTCAATCTCCATCTTCCATTCTCCTCTCTTCAGTTCGCCAAATTTTTTCTCTCTCCTCCTCTGCAGTCTAATCCAATTGAAAACGATTTGTTACAATAAGAGATCCCAATAGGAGATAGTCCTTCTAGCAAATTATTTTACTAGTTTCATTTTCATTTTCTGCACTAAGATATTTGCAATGATTCTTCAAAAAATTGAAAATCTATAAAATTTAACATTAAAAATTAAAAATAGAGTATTAACCTATCATAAAATCAATTTTAACACCAACATATGATAAAAAAAAAAAAAATGGGGCAAAATCATTTCAATTAAAATCACAACAAAATAAAGAAATATCGTGCACTATATCTAAAACACAAGCAAAATCAGTATTGACATAATACTTTCCTTGAAATTGTGCTCAAGAGAAAGAGTAGCTAAAATTAATGTTCCCTTCTAATATTTCAGAGCAAATACAGGATTCAAATCACCTTCATTTGAAGCAACCTTTTTCTGCTTGTGAGAGCAGAAGAGAGAAAAAAAAAAAAATTGGGGAACTGAAGAGAGAAGAATGAAAGATGGAGACGGAAAGGCTAGAAAAAAGGAGTCTGCAATGTAAACAAATGAGGGCATTTTAGTCTTACCAAAAAAATTTTAAAAAAAACCTTTGATTAATTGCAATAACTTTACTCATAAAGATACATTCATAATTAGTGTTAGATTCTCTAATAATAAATACTTACTATCTTGTGCACTTAAGACACAATATAAAAAATCTCAAAAAAAAAAATATTTACAACACGTCTTGAAGTCCATGATATGTTTTGAACACTCAATTTCTAACAGTATTATTACAATCGGTCAGTACGTTAACATGTGAATCAAAATCCAATTACCCTTGTAAAGTATTG